TTGAGTTAGTTAAGCCTAGTAAATTTTCTCCCAATGCATAAAATAATACTGTTACTAGTTAAATGAATCTTTCCCCTGCCAATAATTGCAGAATAGCAGTAAGATTTTTCTCTTCTTTTAAAGATCAACTTTGTTATTTCTGTGATTAAGTTGAGTGTAGACAAATTTGATTTGGCTTTAATTTATTTCTAAAAGAAAAAACAGTCAGTAAACCAGTTAGTGAATTTAAATCACTCAGTATGAGTACCACAACAACATGAACTGGTTAGCTTTGGATGTAACTTCCTCTGATTCTTTTAGAAAATTATAATCATTTCTAAAACCAAAATCTACAAGATTTTATAATCGGTACTGAAAGCAGAACAAATATTCTGCTGAGTTTGCTCAACTCAAAGAGAGTTTCACAGTGTGTTTAACATATTACATAATGTAATTTGACAAAGCAGTATAGCATATCAGCTATATTCACAATCCTGTCCTTATAAAACAGGTTATAGTCATTCATTTTCTCCCTCGCTCTATCAAATTTAAGACCTTGAGAAAAGATGAAAGTGTTTGTTCTATAGATTAACAGTGGAGCATGAGACAAAAAGGAGAAACTTCCTGTACTCTCCAAATGACTTTTTGAGTACAGACTGTCCTTGGCTAATCTGGAAACATAACAATGGATATCATTGTCTTCCATGTTCCTTTTTTGATTCAGAAATCGAGCTTCAGGTCATTAAAATAGTATTTTAACGAGAAGATTAAAAAATTAAAATCCATTGAATTAATGTCTATAAAATACTAGACATATGCAAGGCAGTTTCCTAAAAATTATGTAATTTCTTTTCATACCTGCCAGATGAGATGTATACTCTCATCCTTTTATACATGAGAAAACTCAAAAATCTAAAAGGTTTTGCTCTAAATTGCAGATCATGTGTGTAATTAGAGTTGGGATTGGAACCCAGGAATTCTTTCTACTAAAGGAGTAGCTTGGTAGAATTTTTGAGGTGGCAAAGATGTTCAATTTTATTTAGTTTAATTCTCTCATCCTATGCATAGGTAAATCAAAACTCAGAATCACCCAAAGACAAAAGGTAATTTGAAGCAAAGCAAGAAATAAAAGACTGTAGCTCAGTGGTTCATCTATTATACCTTCATTCGGCTTCAGTAACTTTGTATCACCGATCTTTCACTCTCAATCTCCTTGGTCCTCTTCTCTTCTTTCTCTGCACTTCCTCTGCTGATGCTCTTAAATGCCAGCTGACAATTCCTAAATTCATTTTTCCAGTCCATACCTGATTCCTGAATTCCAGACTTTTGTATCCAGTCTCCAAGTTGAGATCTCCACTTGGATGTCTAATAAGTATGTCTAATTCCACCTGTCTAAAATTGACAGATTTTCCTCCCTCTTTCCTAACCCCCAGCAAATCTGTTCCTCCTGTAGCCTTCCCTATCTCCATTGATGGAAACTCCATCCTTTCAGTTGGTCAGGCCAAAACACCTTGGAATCCTTACCTTGTATCTAATGTGCAGGGAAACCATTTTGGCTCTATCTTTAGAATATCTACAAAATTCAATCACTTTTTACCACTTCCACTGCTACCACTCTCATCTGAGTCACTGGAATATCTCTTTAAAAATGCTAAATCAGATCCTGTTATTTCTTTTGAAACTTTGCAATGATTCCCCATTTCTTCGGAGTAAAATTCAAAGACCTTACAATGAAAGTTTTGTGAGGAATGACAGAATGACATTTTTAAAGGATGATACTGGTTGCTAAGTGTCATTGTCTGTCTTCCTCACTAGAAAGTAAATGCCATAAGGGCAGAAATCTTCATCTTATTTTGTTTACTAATATAGCCCAAGCACATATTACCTAAATTCAGAAGATAATTTATATGCATCTTACATTATTTGTCTACCATTCTGAATATAATTAAGGGGATAGCTGGCATCGTAACATTAACAGTTCATGCAAATTCTATCCTGAACAAAGATAGATGTACTTCAAATAAGTTATTTTTTTGAAATCTAAATAAAGTTTAGATTTACTACTAGAAAAATATGAACTAACATACCACTGGAAAAAATATCATGTTATTTTTAAAATGAAGAAGTATGCCTTTTGAATACCACTTTTCTCTAGTTATTACTTTGGCTAGGATAAATGAGAAAATGTGCAGCAAAATATTTTTAAGATGAAAATTTCAGTCTTTTAGATACTGCAGTCTCCAACCCCTAGGCTATGGCCCAGGACCAGCCCGTGGCCTGTTAGGAAAAGGGTCGTGCATCACCATCTCAGCTCCGCAATCCCCCGCAATGACGACCCCCACTTACCCCTGGGTCCATGGAAAAATTGTCTTCCATGAAGCAGGTCCCTGGTGCCAAAATGTTGGGGACTGCTGGAGGTTCCTGATAATGACTCTTTTTCCAGTTATCAAATCATAAAGTAACTAGTATATATCCTGGAGTCAGAGTACCCAGTTTGGAATTACAACTCTACTACTTATTAGCTCTGTAATCTTAGGCAAATTACTTAATCTCTGTAAGATTCAATTACTTCACCCCACCTATAAGATGAGGATAATAATCATACCTACCACAGTGCTATGCTTTGGATTTTATGATCCATCACATATAAAGTGTTTTTAGCACAGTGCCTAGCTTCTAAGAAGCCATTGTGTCAGTGGTAAAACCAGAGATGGTGGTAGTTCACATATCTTACTTTTTAGAACATCAAACTTCTCCTAATCTGTGATAACAAAAGCTTTGCAAAAATGAGGCTTTAAGTTGCTAATTTATATAAGTTTATCCTAAATCTTAGTCATTTATTAACTATGTGACTTTCAAATAGTCGTTGGTTGCTTGACACAAATATTGGTTTTCCTTTAGTATGGTGATGATTTTGGTTTATTGTTTTTTATTATTTACATTTAAAATTTTAAGATCTTTCACTCACATAGAAAATGAAAACCTCTGTATAAATAGTAAACAGAGCTGAGAATAGTGCTTCTTAAGCTTCCATGTGCAAATGAATCACTTGGAGATGGAAGGTCAGATTTTCAGGCTGATGCCCCCATCATCCGAGGGAAGCCACAGGGATCTGCATTTTCATACTCTTGTCTCCCAGTTGATGTGATTGTCTCCCAGTTGATGTGATTGGGTCCTAGCACCACATTTTGAGAAAAAAATTTATTTACAGAATAGCATGAGAATGGCAATTAAAAGAATACAGTTACGAATCTATCTTTATATGCTAATGATTTAACTTCTTTGAAAATATGAGAATGTATGTCTAGTATGTTGAGCTTTTTGAAAGTCAGAACATAAATTAAGGAGTTCTGTATATTTAAAGACAGTGTAATAAAGACCAAAATTCATGAGGCTACAAATCATAAGACTAGCTTTCTAGTCCTAGCTCTGCTACTTTATAGCCTGATGATTAGGTAAGGTATAAAACATCTCTGAATCTTAGCTTCTCCATCTCTAAAATAGAGTTAATAATATATTCATTGAGTTTCTCATATCCACCTAGGATGTAAGTTCTATGAAATTAGGGACTTTGCCTTATTTAGCTCACTGTTATATATTTAGCACCTAGAACAGTGCCTAGCACATGGTAGGCACTCAATAAGTAATTGTCAAATGAATGATCAACAATATTTGAAACAATCTAATAAATGCTGTGAATAAAAACATAAAAAGGGCACAATGCCTTCCCTCAGAAGCCCAGAGTCTGGAGGAGACAGACATATGCACAAATACTACAACATCGTTCAGTGAATAGGTGTATTGTGATGATCAACTGAGATTATACAATGATGCACTATGAAAGTTATGAGCTGGTGGTAGCACTTGTAGAGAACCAAAATAAGAAAGTGAGGAATTCAGAAACGGGTCTGTTTACCTTTTAAAGCATTTTCTACAAAGGTGCTGTGGTCAATTTGAGGTTGAGACTATAACAATCCAGAGAATAGTGTTTGTGTTTAGTACGGATGGCAACATGAAATGAGGCCTAGGGGAGCATGACGGGACAATGGAAAGTGGAACGAGAGAAGGTGCAAGCACACACACAAATGTGCACTCACATGGGTGTGTGACAGGGAAGAGGGTAGTGGAAATGATCAAACAGAATTGGAAAGGATAGTGGAGAGGTGGTAGTAATGAAAAAAAAAAGAATAAGGAGGCAAGATACAGCTAGTCCTTCTAAGGGGGAACCAGGAGTTGGGTTGGAGTGTAGGAGAAAATGTGTTTAAACAAAACAAAACAATAGGCTAAGGTCTCTTATGAATGGTACTTTATTTTATTGATTGCCAAACATAACATCTTCAGTTATTTGGGGTTTTCTGTTTGTTTTTAAGGCCAGAGGCCAGGCTACTTATTTAGAACTACTTATTCTTCACAATTTAGGAGGTGGAAAACTGCTTTTAAAGCAATCTAAATCATTTCTATACTGTTGCATATAGCAGAGTTATGCTTAAAAGCCAACTACTAATAAAAGAAAAATGGTTTCCTGTGCTGTGAAAGGCAGTGTGGGTTTTTACGATCATTTTTAGACTTCCTGTTTGATCTCTTTTCAAAATGTACATACTGATTTCTTTCATATGCTGCTTGTTCTATTTATATTATAAATTTAAATTTGTGTGTCTCTGAGACAGAACTTTACAATATGAGATCTAAAGGGATCTCTCTTGAAGATGGGTGAACCTTCTTATATTGTTGAAGAAGTTCTATATGTATGCACATTTTTCTGGAGACTGGTCCATGTTCTTAGGAAGTTCATGACCAAAACGAGGCCCTAAGAGAACAGATTTTGTGCATTCACCCAAATAATTCTCTTCTTTGTGACTAGTATGGACTGTGACATGTAGTTCAAAGTATGTGAAAATCATCACTACATATTTTTGTTTATATAATGACCTGTCACCTTATTTTAAAAACTTTTATGAAATTAAAACAGAAATATCGTGAGTCTTGTAATATGCATTTTACCACATGGTGCATTTGTGCAGGTCCGATTCCCATCCCACTTCAGTTCAGATCTCAAGGATCTTCTACGGAACCTGCTGCAAGTGGATTTAACGAAGAGATTTGGAAATCTAAAGAATGGTGTGAGTGACATAAAAACTCACAAGTGGTTTGCCACAACAGATTGGATTGCTATTTACCAGAGGAAGGTGAGACTTTTCTTTATTTTTAATTTAAAATGTTATTAAAAGTTGGTATTTACATTATGTATAATAGAAATATTTTCAACTTAATACATAGTTTTCATTTTTTTACCTTTTAAATTCGTCCTATGCAGAATCTAAAGTACTTTATAGCCCATGACTTAAAAGTGAGTTTTCTCCTAGATTAAGAGAAAGTTTGTATTCTCTTTTGCCTATCAATCTGAAATATCTTCTTTGTTAAATTTTTCCTACACATGCCTCATACTCTTTGCTATAACTGTGGAAATTATAGAATTGGCAATGTCCTAAGGGTTTGCATTTAAAAACTGATGTGAAGCCACATTAGGAAGATAATATATAAACAAATATATTCACCTATCCATAATTGGCTTGTAGCCAGATTTAATAATATGTAATTGCTAGATTCCTCATTTTTGAGCCTCTATTTTGACCTTTCTGTGGCATTTATCAGGGTTCCAAATTTTCAATGTAGTGTTCCCTAAACAGACCATGCTTTTTCACACTCTATGCCCTTGTAAATTTTTTTCCTTTGCTCTGAATGACTTCCCATTTGTGCATTTGCCATAGTCTTATCGATCTTGAAGATTTAGCTTAAATGTTACTTCTACTATGATGTTTTCTCTGAAAGATATTCTTTATTAATATTTTATAGATTCTCTATTATTTTAAAATATTTCATTGAAGACAGGGAACTTATCTTATTCATTTTTAAATTCCTGTTACCTGTCAAGAGCCTTACAGTTGGTACATGCTCACTAAATGTTTGCTGAATTACTGAGCATTGGTCTTTCTTCAGATAAAACTTACTTTTATCCATTTGAAAGCTAATTTGAACATAAGTAATGGAAATAGGGGTTTTAATTAATGCTTTTGTAGGTTAAAAACAAATCTGAAATTACTACATTTTTTGAACAATTATTTATTCACATGATATTTGTTCAAAATAGTCATCAGATGCCTCCTTGTATGCTTCGTATTCTGCAAGGTGCTGAGAATATGTTAAGCAAAATCACCTTTGTTCCTGTCCATATGAAGCTTATAGTTTCAGGGGTCAGGAAAATTAATCAGATGGTCATATAAACAAATATAAAGGTACTAGTATGAGAAATGTGAGAATACAGAAAGAATAACTTTGTATCTGAGTTTTCTTGGGATTTGTTTTGTTTGGTTTTATGCTTGCTTGCAAAAAGGATTCTTAGTGTTAGAAATTCAAGCAACTTGAAGACTAGAATGTAAATATAAACCAAGTTAATCTCTAGTTTTAGTGTACCACCATAATCAAATAGAGGAACACCAGCTGACCAGTAGCAGTATTTTGTTGTCCAGAAGCTTTTTAGTTTAATATGGTTCCATCTGTCTATGTTTGCTTTTGTTGCCTGTGCTTTTGAAAACTTAGCCATAAAATCTTTGCTTAGATCAAAGTTCTGGATCTTATTCCCTATGTTTTCTTCTAGCAGTTTTATATTCTGGGGTCTTACATTTAAGTCTTAATCCATTTTGAGTAGATTTTGGCATATGGTGATAGAGATCTAGTTTCATTCTTCTTTATATGAATATCTGATTTTTCCAGCACCACTTATTGAAGAGGGTATCTTTTCCCTACTGACACCTTTGTCAAAAATCAGTTGGGCTGTAATACATGGATTTATTTCTGGGTTCTCTATTCTATTCCACTGGTCTATGGGCCTATTTTTATACAAATATCATGCTGTTTTGGTTAGTTTAGCTTTTTAGTATATTTTGAAGTCAGGTAGTATTATACCTTCACCTTTGTTCTTTTTGCTCAGGATTGCTTGCTATTGGGTTCTTTTGTAGTTCCATACAAATATTAGGATTATCTTTTCTATATCTGTGAAGAATGTTATTAGTATTTTAATAGTAATTGCATTGGATTTGTAAATTCCTTTGGATAGTATGGGCATTTTAACTATATTAATTCTTCAGATCCATGACCCTGAGATGTCCTTCCATTTGCTTGTATCCTTTTTAATCTCTTTCATCAGTGTTTTGTTATATTCTCTTGCTGACTTGATGCCTGTATGATTATATAATGACTTTCTTTGTGTCTTTATACTGTTTTTGACTTAAAGTCTGTTTTATCTGATATAGATATACCTGCCCTAGCTTGCTTTTGGTTTTCATTTGTGTGGAATATTTTTTTTCCAACCCTTCACTTTCAGTCTACAGATGTCTTTATGGGTGCAGTGAGTTTCTTGTAGGCAGCATATATTTGGTTCATGTGTGTTTTTTAATCCATTTAGCCATTCTATATAGTTTTAGTGGGTAATTTTATCTCTTTATATTCAAGGTTATTATTGATAGGTGAGGGCTTATTCCTGTTATTTTGTCAATTGTTTTCTGATTCTTTTGTATAACCTTTGTTCCTTTCATTCCCTCTTATTGTTTATCATTACAGGTTGATGGTTTTCAGTAGTACTAATATTTGCGTCCTTTGTCTTTCTCATTTGTGTGTCTGCTGTACCAGTGAGTTTTATACTTTCATGTGTTTTCATTATGGTATATGTTGTTTTTTCACTGCCACATATAGGCTTCCCTTAAGCATTTCTTGTTGAGCCAGTCTAGTAGTGATGAATTCCCTCAATTTTTGTTTGTCTGGGACTTTATTTCTCCTTCATTTTTATGGCATAGCTTTGCTGGGTATAGTTTCCTTGGCTGACAGTTTTGCTTATTTTTTATTCCAGCATTTTTAATATATCATCTCATTCACTCCTGCCCTGTAAGGTTCTTGCTGACAAATCCACTGTTAGTATTATGGGGGTTTTCTTATATGTGACTTGACACTTTTGCTGTTTTTAGAATTTTCTCCTTCTCTTTAACTTTGTTGATAGTTTGACCATACTGTGCATTGTAGAAGAGATTTTTGGGTTGTATCTATTTGGGAATCTTTGAGCATCCTGTATCTGGATGTCTAAATCTCTTGAAAGACTTAGGTGATTTTTAGCTATTATTTCATTAAATAGGTTTTCTATGCCTTTGCCCATCTCTTCACCTTCTGGAAAACCCAAAATTCAAATATTTGGTTGTACTAATTTGCAGTCCCACCAATAGTGTATAAGCCTTTCTTTATGTCTACATCCACACCAGCATTTATTTTTTAACTTTTTTTTGAGACAGAGTCTCGCTTTGTTGCCCAGGCTAGAGTGAGTACCGTGGCGTCAGCCTAGCTCACAGCAACCTCAAACTCCTGGGCTCAAGCAATCCTTCTGCCTCAGCCTCCTGAGTAGCTGGGACTACAGGCATGTGCCACCATGCCCGGCTAATTTTTTCTATATATATTTGTTGGCCAATTAATTTCTTTCTTTTTATGGTAGAGACAGGGTCTCGCTCTTGCTGAGGCTGGTTTCGAACTTCTGACTTTGAGCAATCCACCCGCCTCGGCCTCCCAGAGTGCTAGGATTACAGGCGTGAGCCACCGCGCCCGGCCTTATTTTTTAACTTTTTAATACAGCCCTCTGACAAGGGAAAGGTGGTTATCTCACTGTGGTTTTAATTTGCATTTCCCTGATAATTATTGATGTTAAGCATTTTTTGTGTGTTTGTTGTCCACTTGTCTGTCTTCTTTTGGAAAACTTATGTTCATGTCTTGTGCCCACTTTTGAGTGGGGTTGTTTGTTTTTTTTCTTGCTGATTTGTTTGAGTTCTTTGTAGATTCTGGATATTAGTCCTGGGTCAGATGTATAGTTTGTGAATATTTTCTCCAATTCCATAGGTTGTCTGTTTACTCTGTTGATTAATTCCTTTGATTTACAGAAGGTTTTAAATTTAATTAAATCTCATTTATTTTTTATTTTTTTATTTTTGTTATTGCAATGTTTGCTTTTGGGTCTTAGTCATAAATTCTTCACCTAGGACAGTGTCTAGAAGAATTATTTCTACATTTTCTTCTAGAATTTTCATGGTTTCATGCTTTACATTTAAGTATTTTATCTATATTGAGTTAATTTTTCTGTCAGGCAAGAGATAGGGGTTCTGTTTCATTCTTCTACATGTGGCTATCCAACTTTTCCAGCACCATTTGTTGAATAGGGCCTCTTTTTCACAATGTATATTGTTGTCTGCTTTGTTGAAGGTCAGTTGATTGTAGGTAGATGATTTTCTTTCTGGGTTCTCTATTCTATTCCATTGATCTATGTCTCTACTTTTATACCAGTGCCATGCTGTTTTTGTTTACAGCCTTGTAGTAGAATTTGAAGTCTAATAATGTGATGTCTCCAGATTAGCGTTTTTTGTTTTGTTTTGTTTATTGGTTCAAGATTTCTGGGTGTTTTTTTTTTTTTTTTTCTGATTCAGTTTGGGGAAGTTGTGTGTTTCTATGAGTTTATCCATTTCCTCTATTTTCTAGTTTGTGTGCATAGAGATTTTCATACTATTGATGGATATTTTATATTCTGTGGTATGAGTTGTAATGTATCCTTTTTATTTCAGATTGAGCTTATTTGGGTCCTTTCTCTGTATTCCTGGTTAATCTAGCTAGAGTCTACCAATTTTGTTTATTTTTTCAAAGAACCAACTCTTTGTTTTATTGATCCTTTGTATTGTTTTTTGCTTGGTTTCCATTTTGTTTGGTTCTGCTCTGAGTTTTGTTATTTCTTTACTTCTGCTAGCTTTGGGTTTGATTTTCTTCTTTTTCTAGTTTTTTAAGTTGTGAAATTACATTGTTAATTTATGATCTTTCTTTTTGAAATAAGCATTTAAAGCTATGAATTTCCCACTTAACAGTACTTTTTATTCCATAGATTTTCAGATACTTGTATCATGATTGTTATTCAGTTTGAAAAATCTTTTGATTTCTATCTTAATTTCATCATTGATGCAAGGATTGTTCAGCAGCAGGTTGTTTAATTTCCATGACTTTGTGTAGATTTGTGAGTTCCTCTTGGAGTTGATTTCTAATGTTATTCCACTATGATCTGAGAAGGCACATAGAATGATTTTGATTTTTCTGAATTTGCTGAGACTTGTTT